TCTCTATTTTATTCTGATTTTAGTTGAAAAAGAATGACCTACTTTAGAAAGATTTGTCTCAACTAGTCTATAAAAATCCATAATGATTGTTTTTTTTTATTTTTTCAAACAAACCATTTGCTTTGATCTTTTCAAACATTTTGTCACCTTTTCGGGAGGAAGGAACAGTTATCCTCACAAAGCAGGAGGGGTTCTGCTTTTCGGAAGAAGCCTCCACCAAACAGTAAGCTTCAGAGGACCAGTTCAGGTAAACGCCTCTCCTCCAGTACATCCGCTTTGGTCGAAGCACTTTTTCTGAATACAACAAAGTATCTGGGATTAGAAAAACCCTGCGTCTTCAGAACTGAAGCGAGCTGTCGCTGATGAAGTCACCTCTTCCACAAAGCAAGTAGGAGGAGACCTCCAGCAGGCGGCTGATCTGCCGAGACCAGAAATCCATGGGGAAGTACGGCATCTCATAGAGACGCACGATCACCTCCGAGTTCTCACAGTGAGGCAGCTCTATTGCTGGTTTGTGTTTGGACAAGCTGTGGAGAAACGGGTGAAGGGTTAAATATTCCAGACATTGGATTGTTAATATTTGCCTCAGCTTTGGTTAAAAAAAGTGATCCCAAAATGAAATCATTTGTTTATAAAGCACACTTAAAAACAACAGTGTTTGGTCAAAGTTCGGCACATCAAACAAACAGTAAAAAAAAACGATACCAAAAATAAAACAAAGAAAAATAAAAGCCTTTAAAAATATGATACAACATACAGTAAAACCAACTAATTTAGGAGACATGTCAAACTAAAGGTCCATGGGCCAAATGTGGTCCGCTAAGGCATTTTGTGTGGCCCGTGAGAGCATAAAAGTTGTAATAATGTCTTAAAATAACTGCTGCTTTAGAGCCAGCAGTGGCAAACTGCAACTCCCATAATGCATATTGATTATTTTATTCACTAAATGACTTTCCACCACCAGGTTTAGGTGCACAGGGTTAAAAAGTAGTTGTTACATGGCGAAATTCGACATGTAAAAATCTCCATTTGACTGCATTTTCCATGGCTACTGTTGCTGTGGCCCATGCAAACTGTAAAATGCAGTTTCTAAGCATAAAATACCACATACAGCTCAGTTGCGCCAATGTGATGAAAGCATGAATTACACTTTCAAAGTTAAAGGATGAAAATAATTTCACTTGAGATAAAAGCTTCAGTTTAAAAAAGGATCTTTACTACTGAACTAATTTGTTTCTTAAGGTTAAAATTCTAATCAAACATCACCCCTAAATGTTTTAAGCGACATTTTACAAAGAGTTCCAAGCTGCCCAGATCTAAAAGAGAAGAGCTGTGATTTTCACTCCAGTTTTATACAAAAGCTCAATGTTACCTGCTGGGTACAAGAAGCTGGTCCTCCCCGAAGGGGAGAGCGATCTGAAACTTCTCCAGAAGTTTGAAGAACTGTGTCAGGTGGCTCTTTGGGAAACATTTGGTTTCAGACAGAAACTTTTCTACGACAGAGCGTTGAACGACTCCTTTGGGTTGCCCCTGGATAACAGAGTTCTTTAATGCCAGTTTCTGCAGAGACGATAAATAACATTGTATTATATTTCTGTCAGAGACCTGAGCAAAAACTTTCAAGTACGTAGGTGTATAGATTAAACAGAAAAAAACTAGAAGCACTCGGACAGTGCAAACCTCCGCCAAGACCAATTTCCCCCATCCTGTAAGAGTTAATGCACAAAAGCAGAGGTGGAAACACATTTGCTGAATAAGTTCTGATGTAGCGAACATTTAAGCAGGAAGTATGCACGGGATTTCTTCTCGATGGAGTCCAATGTGAAAAAAACATGTCAGACTCGTCACGCGACGTTATTCATCGTCAAACTGGTGTCGGATTAAGCTCCTAAGTTTTCATCAGTCACATTTCACTCTGTAAAATGTCTATTTTATCCCCTTGTATGAGTTTGAAATTGTTTGACTCTCTTTATAAAGTGCTTCCTGGCTTACTCGTCAATCAAACTGTTTTGATTGGTTGTTTCAGAAATGTGGTGTGTTTGAGGAAATGGGAAAAATAGGTTTCATGGTGCAGTCACACACTTCCTGGTCGCAAAACGTTCTGTAAATGAGCATATTATGGCAAAAATTATTCATCATTAAATCTGGTTTTAACATTACTTTTACAAAGTTTGAAATCCGTGCTGTCCAATCCAGCTCACTGTTTTTTACAGAAGCCCTGTGAAAGCATCACAGCTTTGCAGATCTCAGAGTGTTAAAAGAAAAAGAATTCCTGTATCCGCATCGTGATCCGAAACATCACTAAAATTTAAAGATCTGTTCCTTGGCCCAGTATGCACATGTGGTAAAAATGTCATGAGAATCCGTCCACAAGTTTTTGAGTAATGTTGTCCACAGACAGAACGACCGACAGACCGACAGACATACGCGACCGAAAACATTACCTCGCCCTTGGCGGAGGTAACTAGATTAAACATGAAAAATAAAGCTCTAGTAGTAGTAGTAGTAGTAGTAGTAGTAGTAGTAGTAGTAGTAGTAGTAGTAGTAGTAGTAGAAGTAGTAGAAGTAGTGGTAGTAGTAGTAGTTGAGGAGTATCGGCAGGCCAAGGGAGCCCAGCCCTGGAGGTGGCTGAGGGAAATGCTTCGATGTGAGAGGAGTTCGGTGAGGCCGTGGATAAAGACTCTGGTAAACCATACGGCGGCTGAGGCTGGGAAAGCAGCCCTTTACTAACACTGTGTCCAGTGAAGGTGGGGTGCTGTTGACCTCAACCAGTGATGTCATCTGGGGTTGGGAATCTTGGGAGCGCTTTGGAGATCTCCCAAAAGAGCTGGAAGAGGTGGCTTGGGAAAGAGGTCTGGGTCTCCCTGTTCAAGCTGCTGCCCCCGTGACATGACTCGGAATAAGCGGCAGATAATGGATGGATTATAAAAAAGGGGGGATCCAAAGACCAAGCCTTGAGGAACACCAAATACTACAAAGCTAATCTATTAAAGTCACTCTTTAGGGAATAATCAGTGCTTTAGATCACATTTATACAACGACACACATTTTCGAGGCCGAGGCAACCTTGGACAAATGTGAAATTAGTTTTTAGGTTGTTCAAGCATAGTGCAGATGGGAGGTTTGACGTTAACTCTGTGAGAAAAACTAGATGATACCACTGGAACCTAGACACTAATGAAACGGTGTCCAAAGTCAAAGTCAGATGGAAGAGAATGACAAAAAGATTTAGTTAACACAGAGAGACAAAAACAACATGCTTTTACTTACTTGAGTAAGTGTACTTACATTGCACAGCCACTGTGGGTCAATAAAATAAAGTTCTTGAAGCTGAAGTGCAGGATCATCGAAGTGTAACAAAATTCCTAAAACAACAAAATTGTGTCCAAATATTTATATAAAAGAGGCCTCAAATTACTCAAAGACATAAATCCCTTACTAATCAGCAAATAAAATACTGTACTTCTCCCATTATTACATCAGTAAACAGCAATGCAAGTTTAGGTTTATGACATAAGAACCTCAAAAAAGAAACTTAGCCTCAAATGCTATTTTTTTTACGATGCAACAAACAATGAGAAAATGCTCAAAACTAAACACTCATAAAAACCATACAATCATTGACAAAGTTTGTCTAAAAGAAGAAAATGCTCAAAATTTCATCATACATTTGACATTATTTGTAAGATTACTGTAGCAAATCTTAAATTTATCGTACCGACTTCCCTGAGGAAATGGATGGCATGAGGCAGTTCAGTTTCCTCAAGCTGCAGCTGACTCTCCTGGATGATTTGCAGAAGTTTCGAGCGCTTGAGGACGGGGAACTCTGGGGGGACCTTAGTCCTCTCTTGGACAACCCTTTGCTCCAGCTCCACGTAGCTGTCTGGCACCAGCTGACCCATAACCTGCTGGCCTTGGATCTGTGAGGGAGAGGGGCAGGTGAGCTCTGAGGCAAGACGGGAAGCAAAATGCTTGATTTCCAGTTCGCTCCCTTTTACCTTGAAGCCGGTGACCTCCGTGATGATGGCCTTGCGGAGTTTCACGATGGAGTCCGAGTCCTCGCAGAAAGAGCCCATGTGATGATCTTTGATAGCTGGAAACCCCTGATGGTTCAGAAGCTCCTCGCGGATTTTGCTCAGGCAGGCCTGGAGCTGCAACTCCTCGCTCATATCGGAGTGTGTTCCCACCAGGATGACTGGGGACAGGGGAGCTACTGCCTGAAGGGAAAGTTACAAGGATGTTTTTTTTAATCAAATCTATCAGAAAACAACATGATTTATCAGGATGTTGCACCTCTCATCAGCTAACAAATCAAATACCCTTTTTTCACACAATTAACACGACTTTCTGTAAATGGATAGAGAACTTTGGGTCTGAGGTCCTGAGTTTTGTGGAACAAGTTCTCACAGAGGACATCTCTGTACTTTGCTCCATTTAGCTTTTACTGCGCCCCTGACCAGTTCCCCAGTCTCTGCTGCTAAAAAAAAACACCCCCACATCATGATGCTGCTGCCACCGTGCTTCACAGTTGGGATGGCGTTAAGCAGGAGCCTGGTTTTCTCTACGTAGAACACTGTGAACCACAAAGTTTCGTCACAGCAGATAATCTTCCTCCTCACAGTCCGAGAGTCCTTCGAGCTGGTTTTCTCATGTGTCACACTGAGAACAGGCCAGATCAGTGAAGAACTGTCCCAGTAGTTTTCCATAGATGTGTGACCTCTGCTGGCTGCTCTTTTGACCTCATTGTTTGGTTATTGCTCTGTCTGTCTGCTCGGAGGCCTTCTATAAAGAGATGAGGGCCTTTTCAAACATCCATCCATCTATCTACACCCACTTCTTCCTTTCAGGGTCTCAGGGGTCACTGGTACTAACATCCAGCAGTCACTGTATGAGGGGCGGGGTACATCCTGGACAGGATGCAAGTCCATCACAGGGCCACATAGAGACAAACATTCATTCACTCTCACGCACACCTAGGGACAATTTAAACAGCGTCTAATAAATTTAACCAAGATCGTAATACTAAATACGTAAATGTAGAATTTCTATTTTTTATTTCGATAACTTTTGTTTTGGGTTACTGAGTGTAGATTACTGAGGAGAAAAACAATTTCATTGCTTCTGGTTGTAACCAAGGTTATAATTGTTTAGAATTTTTCATTATAGTTTAGTTTTTATTTCTTTGTAACTTTTTCTTTTAATTCAGTTAGTTTTAATTAGTTTTTACAGTGGATTTGCTAGTTTTTATTAGTTATTATTGCATTTTTAATGCTTAAAAGGCACAGTGTGTAGGATTGTAGGTTGAATCAGTCTCCCTGGTCCTCCCCCCACCCCCACCCCCCAACTTCCAAAAGCAAAGGAGTTGCTACGGTGTCTCTCAGGTGTCAAAAACCTTTGATAATTCCAACTGCGATGTCTACCAGCAGCTTCAGGGCTAGTGATGTTTCAAGTGGTAAGATTATGAGCTTTAATAAGTAAAATTATAACAGCTATGTTTACATGCACAAAATGTTTTAATCGGATTGAAATGTATTCAGATTAAATAATCAGAATGTACTGTTTATATGGACACAATCTGATCATGAAAAGTGTTTACATGCACCGGAGTTTTATTCAGAATAAAAGTCCGGACATGCGCAGCGTTGTAAACCTTCAGCTCTACTTCCGTGTTACAAACGTAAACAACGCTCCTCTGTTCCTCAGGACGGACCCGTGTCAGCTTTTAATAACGGTAGAGACRYCGTTRMTCCTCAGTTGAGCTGCAGCCTGCAGATGAAGCAATACGTGCTTTTTATTTTTATTTTTGTGAAACACCGTCTGCTGTTTGCCTCCTTTTTCATCTGTTAAGAGAGTGAGGAGGAAAAGTTCTGCACGGTGCAGCGCAGCTGGAGCGCTGCTGTCCCACCGGGTGAATGAAAGTCAGCAGACATGCACACAGGTCAGTTTTCTACAATCAGAATAAGATGATCTGATTAAGTGTTTACATGAACCTCATTCCGATTATCAATCGACATTACCCACCCTTTTCATTCGGATTAAAAATTCATTCGGATCGAGCTCAATCGGATCAGAATAATCGGAACGAGCTGTTTACATGATGCATTTTTATTCCGAACGGCTGTTTAATCCGATTACTTTTGTCCATGTAAACGTAGCTAATGACAGACAACAAATATTACATCTATAGTATTACAACTAAAACCGTTTTTGGCGCCGCCACCACATGAGCCTTCGTAGACAAGATGGCGGCTGCCTGTAGGGCGACCTGTGACCAGGGAGATATAAACAGCTTTTTATAAGGTAAAAATAATAAAAGAATGTCTTTGTCTGCAATGATTAGACATGTTTTTTATTATTGTCATTAGTGATTATCTCAATTTCGGCTAAAAGAATTGACAAAATCCTACACACTGTGCCTTTAATTTTAGTTTTTAATAAGTTTGAATGAACATATTTGCCGATGCATCCTCCAGCTTGTGATGTTCCTGTGAGTTAACTAACCAACAGCTAGTTGGCCGCTAGTTAAAGCAGTCCATTATAGCAACAACTTCCTAAAATAATTGTGTAACTCAATTTTGCCAACTAAGGGCTTAGGTGATTATTTTAGGACGATGACAATAGTTGTCTCCATAACTGTTGCTTGTTTTTCACAGGAGCTACTGAGAGAAGCTATTGTGTCAAGATAGTCATAGTTAGCCATCTTGTATGAGTTTGAGTCATGCAGTTTTCCCCTTGAGAAGCATTTCACCTGTTTTATCACCTGTTTCCACTACAAGACGCTTTGATTTTTCTCGCAGTCATATTCAAAGAAATCCTGAAGTGGACGTTGTCGTTTTCTCCCTACTTTTGTTGTCGTCATTTGGCAGATGATGCTGAGCAGCAGACTGTACACAAGTGTTGTTAAGGAACATGAGCCATAAGCTGCCCACAGCTAATGTGAAACTACTCGATTACAAAAAAAATTGTCAAACACTAAAACTAAGGATATTCTATCTGTAATTTCAGTTAGCGTTAGTTAGTTTTGTAAAAAGGTTATACGGTTTTAGTTAGTTATCTTTTTTTTTTCATTTTATTACAGATTTTATTTATTTTAGTTAACTAAAATGTTTTTTGAATTTCAGTTTTTGTTATTTAGTTTTAGTTAACTATAATAACCCTGGTTGTAACAGGTTCAGCTGTGGTTTGTGGCTCACTTTGATGTTGAAGAGCCACGGTTTGAGAGCATCCACCTGACTGGCTCCTTTGCTGAGGTCGTACACCACCAGGTAGAGAGCTCTGGCTGTCAGGAAGTAAGACTGGGAGCTGCTGAAGTCCTCGCCACCTGCGGAGCAGAGGGCGCTCAGTCACAACCGCATCCTTCAGAACTGACAAACCCGCAGGTGTTTTCGTCTTTTGCAACACTTTTTAGTTCTGCTCGTCGGTTTTCAGAGGCAGGCTGACCTGAAAAGTCCCAGACGTTCAGCACCATTTTCTTCTTGTCCCTTTCCCTGACGGGCCAGTCAAAGACGTCGACACCTACAACGCTCGCCTTTGAGTTCAACGGAGAGCGCTTCAGCTTCATCAGCTGCCTGATCAGGGTGGTCTTTCCACTGCCAGGGGTCCCCAACACGATGAGCTTCATGCGATAATATGGCACGGCTTTTTTCAGCCGCTGCTGCAGGAACCTAAGATTGAAGCAGACACTGTAGGTGAATAATTCATTTTAGCTGTAACATCTGTTTACATTGTTTTTGTGACTTTTGTGTCATAATTTCATCTCATTTACACTTGTATAGAAATTTTTTAGCATTTTTTTCCAACTTGTTTTATTTTTATATTTTTTTGGGGAAACTTGTTGGCATTTTTATAGAAACTTCTATTAAAACTTTTTACTTTTTGTTAAACCTGTCTACATTTAGATTGAAACTTGTTTTTCCTTTTCTTTTTAGTTTGGTAATTATGGGGAGGGAGAAAGTAAAAGAACTTCATTATGTGATTTTAACACGTATATATATGACAATAAACCACTTTTATTTCACAATGATATGAAGCAGATTCAAAGCCTCGGACCGGATTATGTCTTTCGTCTTGTGACCGATGAGTTTGAGGTCGAGCTCCAGTCGAAGGCCGTCCAGCGGGAGGTCCCACAATCTGCGCAGTTTTCCCATTTCATCTGGGAAGGATCGCAAGCTGGAGTTGTGACTCACATCCAAGGAGGTCAGGCCTTCCAACAGGCCAATCTGTGGTGGTATCTGGACCCAAACAACACATAAAAATAAAAACATTGGCCCACATTTGTAATGTGTTGTTTACATGCTGAGCAATCTGCTTCACCTCAGATAGCTTGTTGCCACTCAGGTGGAGCTTCTCCAGTCTAGCCCATCTACTGATGGGTTCCTTCAGGTCCAGAGCTTTGATGCAGTTCTGACTGAACATCAGCTCTCTAATGTTACTGGACTTCCAGAACGAAGGGCCAGGCAGATCAGCAATGCTGTTGGTCCTCATGTCCACAGATCGTAAACTGGACAAAAAGAAAACTCGTGAAATACAGAAACTTCTCACCTGACAAAAAATAAATAAATAAAATGTTAACTCTGGGGGACGTACTTTGGCAGGTCAAGAATGTCCTTGGAGATGTGAGTGAAGCTGTTGTTGGCTAGTTTCAGTGTTGTCAGCTTGGCTGGCAGCTTACAAAGTAAACCTGACGGAAACAGTAAAAATGTTTTTAATACGTTCATCAATTCATTCAGAAACTCACACAAAGTCTTTCCATTTAGAGATCATGTCTTTTTTTACAACAACAACAGACTGCTGTGTGCTTTGGATGGCTACAGATGGCTGCAGATCTTTGGAACTTCATAAATTTTTTTATTCGTGTTTCGTTCGTGGTCAGAGGTTTTTTCTTCACAACAAAACAAGATATAATAAGTGTGTATATAATAATATAAGATATAATAACTGTGTTAGACAGTAATAGATTCACTTCTCACGTCATCAAACCTCAAAAAGCACTGAGGTCAAAGTATTCTGGTGCTATTCTTTGCACTAATGCTCATTAATCAATGGGTTTTACATTATATGATTTGTAAACTTCACACTGTAGAAACATTTCTAATTTCCCGTTGAGGTAGCAAAGGCTCTGTTGATGGTACTCACACATTTTGTTCATAGAGGCGTTGAAAGTTTCCAGTTTGGGGAAGCCGGTCAGGAAGTCAGGAGAAATATTCTCGACATTGTTTTTGCTCACGTCCAGCAGCCTGACCTCAGGCAGACTCACAGGTGAGCACAGCTCAGTCAGACAGTTACTGTAAAACAAGAACACAAAAAAAACAAAGATGAGCTGAGCTGCAGGTTTCTCACACATTAATCCAGGATGTAAAACAACTGTAAAACAAAACTAATCATTTTGTTTTCGGATGAAAAACGACCACCTACCCTTCCATAACCAGCTCCTCCAGCTGCTCCATGGTTTGACCCAGCCCACGGGGGAATGTGGTGATTTCGTTGTATGAAAGGTTGAGTTGCTTCAGTGACGTACAGGTGATGGCCAGGTCAAAGGTCAACGTGGGGCCGAGGCAGTTCCGAGACACGTTTAATGTGATCAGCGAGGGTAGAGACAGAAGCTCAGCTGGCAGCGACTGAAGCTGGTTGCCCTGAAGGTCCAGACGAGCCACACTTTTTAAACTCTGCCAGAGCAAAACAAACAAAACCCAAAAAATCAGCTTCAGAACCTGTTTTGTTATTATTTGGACCTGATGGTGCCTCTGTTCTGATCTGTGTTACCTGGCAGACGGCTGAGGGAAACTCCAGCAGACTGTTGTGGCTCAGGTCCAGGCGCAGGAGATGCCACAGCTGCTGTTGGACAAATGCATCGTCCAGTAAACAGGACAGAGAGTCCAGCTCGTTCCCTGACAGGTCCAGCAGGTGGATCCGTTCCCTTTCTTTAGGCAGACCAGCAGAGGTTTCACCGAAACCCAAAACTGAGGAGCAGAACATGACTCTTCCTTTAACAATTACAGTGGGTATCTAGTTATTTGGAAGATGGAAAACAATTTGTAGAAATAAATAATGTAAGATCTGAGTTTTGTAACATCTCATGTGGAGTGCCACAGGGTTCCATTCTCGAACCTAAGTTATTTATTTTGTATGTGAATGATTTGGTGAATGTGTCGGGACTTTTTAGGTGTGTTATATTTGCTGATGATACAACATGCTTTTGTTCAGGTAAAGATATAGAACAAATGTTGGAGAAAGTACAGACAGAATTTGTGAAAATACAAAGTTGGTTTCATCTAAATAAATTATCATTAATCTTGGACAAAACAAATTATATGGTTTTCTGTAACAATAAGAGAACTATGGATATCTCATTTAAAATTGATGTTGAGATCTGAAGAGTCAGTGAAGTGAAGTTTCTAGGTGTCATCACTGATGAAAAACTGACATGGAAAAAACAAAAACAGCCAAATCTATTGGAGTCCTGTACAAAGTAAGAGAACTGTTCACTGATAAAACACTATTTATGTTGTATAATGCTATAAGTGTTCCACATTTAATTTACTGTATTGAAGTCTGGGTAAAGCTTGTAAAACTATCATAAATCCTATTTTTATTTTACAGAAAAGAGCTATAAGAATTATCACAAAAGAAATTACAGCCATCCATCGAATATATTGTTTTATGAATTTAAATTATTAAAATTCTATGATTTGGTCAATTATAATAATTTGCTGTTAATGTACAGAGATCATAAAGGTGTGTTACCTTCCAACATTCAAGTAAATTTTGTTAAAAGAGAGAGCTGTTATTATCTTAAGGGAATCTAAATGTTTGTGAAACCCTGGTTTCGTACGAGCCTGAAGAAGCGATCTACTTTAATCCAGGGAATAAGATTGTGGAACGGTCTGGAAGATGAGGTTAAAAATGCCAGATCTTTGTATATATTGAAGAGAATGATAAAATCTAGTTTTCTGAAGAAATATGGAGAAGCATAAGCGAATTAATGCTAATTGTTTTTCAGTTGTTTTGATTTTTGTTGTAATTTACTTTTCTTTTGAACATATTCTGGGTATAAAAAGTGGCGGATATTATAACATTTATTCTTCTTCTGCTGCCTTTCATTTTATTTTGATTGCATTTTTTTGTTGTTGTTGTTATGTATTGTTACAAATAAAAATAAATAAAGGATAATAAAAAAAACACAAAAAAAAATCAATTCACTTTTAAAAAAGCAATAACCATCTTATCTCAAAGAATTCCTGTAGGTCCATATTTCACAGGAAGCCACCAGAGAAAAGCTGAAGATTAGTCATTATTTGAATCTAAAGTTGGGAAAAATGAAGTTCAGTTTTACCAAAGTGAGCAGAAATACCTTTAGGAGTGGAGACTCTCCTTCCATATCTTCTGTAAACAAGTTCACCAATTTCATGTTCAGCTGGACCACTCTGCACACAAGAAACGATGGAGAGCAGAACAAAGGAGGGAACAGTCAGCTGTGCAATGCTTTGACACGACACAAACAAAATGATGAATGCTGGGTAAACCATAAACCTGTTTCCTGATGAGTGAGTCCTTCCTCACAGCATCCTCTGCTGAGTTGTTACACAACTTTGGGGAAAGAGCACCTGAAAATGAATCACTTCCTGAACAAACGGAAGTAGAAGAACAAATTTTATATTACCATTATGTCAACTCACTGAAAGAAAAACTTATTATATTTTGATGACTTTACACTTTTGGAGTAGATTCTAAGTTATCTAAGACATTGTGAATTCTAAAGGGGCAGTGTTGAGGAACCATTTTATTTTTACACTGGTGGCAATACTGGTGGATGAGTAAATAAGGCCTGATTGGCCAGAAGGGCTCTATATAAGTACAGTCCTTTTACCAGACAGAGACCCTAACAATGCTCAGGAGGATGGGAAGCAAAATTATAATTTTCATGTGAATTCAATTTGCATAAACAGAGCATCTCATGCAGTGTTAAGCTTGGAACACCATCCTCCAAATTTTGAATTAGAAAATTTCCGTCCATCCATTTTCTTCTCTTATCCGGGGACGGGTCCCGGGGGCAGCAGACTAAGAAGAGAGACCCAGACTTCCCTCTTCCCAGCCACTTGGGCCAGCTCGTCCGGGGGGAATCCCAAGGCGTTCCCAGGCCAGCTGAGAAACATAGTCCCTCCAGCGTGTCCTAGGTCTTCCTCTGGGCCTCCTCCCAGTGGGACGTGCCTAGAACACCTCACCAGGGAGGTGTCCAGGAGGCATCCTAACCAGATGAACCACCTCAACTGGCTCCTCTCGATGTGGAGGAGCAGTGGCTCTACTCTGAGTCCCTCCTGGATGACTGAGCTTCTCAACCTATCTCTAAAGGGAGAGCCCAGACACCCTGCGAAAGAAAGTCATTTCAGCCGCTAGTATCCACGATCTCGTACTTTCGGTCACTACCCAAAGTTCGTGACCATAGATGAGAGTAGGAATGTAGACCGATCAGTAAACCGAGAGCTGAGCCAACACGACAGACCGTTACAGCGCCCGCATCACTGCAGACGCAGCACCAATCTGCCTGTCGATCTCTCGTTCCATTATTCCCTAATTTGTGAACAAAACCCCGAGATACTTAAACTCCTCCACTTGGGAAATCATTAGAAAATCTCCCTGGGTGGTAAACAAACCATCTTCAACGACAAAACAGAAATCCAGCTGCTTTGTTTTTGAAACTCTTGGTATTCTCCATGTTCTAAATGACTGAGAACCTTCACCAACAGCCTGTTAACCTGTGGACCTAACCCTAACCTAAATTAAATGAAGTACTGCTTTTGAACCCTTTGGAGTAAATTCACAAGCCTATCTCTATGTGAAGCTATCAATCTAAATTTTTGAACTTCAGCAGTCATAATTTTTGTAACTGTAACTAGTATTTAGTTTTTAAGTTAAAATACACTATACCATCAATTTTTTTCTCATTTCTAAAGCTGCATATCAAATAAAAGGTAACTTGATTTTCTACACAGCTGTGGTGCCAGAAGCTCAGAGCTGATTGGCTGATTCTAGTCAATCAATCACATGCACCACATATGGGTGGGACATGAGGGGCTTCCCACACATTTTGGGCTTTGGAGAGTTTATAGATGAACCCAGTTGGTCAAAAGAGGTGTCAATCAAAAGAAGACAAGCTGTCAAATTGTTTGAACAGCATGTTATGCAAATTCAAAGTCCCTGGTAGCGAGGGTCAGGCTATAAAGAGGCAGGATTTAACCACAAACTGGAAATGTACTGCTGGTGCTACATTGAGTGTAATCTATGGGTTTAATACATTATATACATATATAAATGTTTATATACCTGTATAAACATGTTTAGCTACAATGGTAAATAATTTAGTGTGTTATAATGATATATTAGATATAGCAGAGCTGTGAGTTATCACCTGGTGAAATCATTTGACACAGCAGTGCAGTGAGTGCACATTGCAGCAAACTGACCAAATTTTCCCCCATTTTTTCCAGTAATGACCGGTGCAGTTACATTTTGAGCTAGACTTTTAATTATTTTCTACAAATGCACAACAAATCATCAGTCTTTGTGCCATTGAAGTCTCCTGGACTTGAGCTTTCTAACACACCCCCAGGTTGAGATTAACGGTCCTGGGGTCTCATTTATAAAGGACCGCGTGGAAACCATACTAAAAGTGAACGTACGGCCTAAAGGCAGAAATGGCGTACGCCAAAAAAAAAAATTAAGATTTATAAAACCGTGCGTACGCACGTTTCTGCGCACATTTCATTTCCAAATCACAGACGCACGTCAGAGTTTGTGCACGAGATCCTGCCCCGGGTTCTACACTCTACACGCCCACACTCAACCATAAACAGTCAATGTAAAGTACCTCATGAATGTTAAGATGTATTTAAATCAGTCAGCTGATCAATGTCAACAAAAGTGATTGGTTCAGACACGCTCCGTCGTGTGTCTGGAGGCTGACAGGTGCTGACTGACAGCTGCTCACGTGAACAGATTGTCTGTAATTGATGCAGATTTTCCCTCATTTTGCTTTAGAGTAATCTAACGATTTTTATTTAAAAAAATACTCAGCTTCAAATTAATTTTCTCTCAGAGCCTGCAGGATGATAAAAACAACAAAAATTAAATTAAATAAGTCAGATAAAATTAGAATTAAGTCCACCGCTCTTCTCCACATTCTCTCCCCCCTGCCTGCTCTGTTATGCGCGGCAGACACCCCCGCCCCACGCGTGCGCACACACACACACACGTGACAAACACGGATTTTAAACGTGAAGTTTTATAACATCCACACTGGCGAGGTGGATGCACCCTGCGCGTTTATCAAAAGCGTGACTTTTGCTGTCCTGCTGTTCTTGTCGAAGAGGGGTCTGTGGGTCAGGGAGGGGTCTGTGGGTCAGGGAGGGGTCTGTGGGTCAGGGAGGGGTCTGTGGGTCAGGGTCGTCTGAGGAGGAAGCAGATGAAGGGAGTTGCGCACGGGAACTTTTATTTAAGATTTAAGTTTTTTTTTTTTCAAAGGTCCTCATGGCTCAGCAGCAGAAGCATAAAAAATTATTGTTAAGAAAGCTGATGATAAAGCTGAATAAAAATCTAAGTCTGATTCTGAAGGTAAATTAAATATCTGACAGTGATCATTACACAGTGTGGCTGTAATTCCTCACTTCACCATCTGTGTCGCAGTTTCACATCTCCAAAATGAGCGTATGCATGGGTCAAAGCTGGCGTGTGGCACCGTACATTTTCATATCAAGTTTGGATTTTATAAATCACAACCTTGGCGTAAAAAGTGACGTACGCAAGTTTCTGGGCTCAAATTGTGCGTACACAAGTTTTATAAATCCGACCCCTGAACAGTAAAGTCTTATGACATGGTGCTGTATGCACCCAGAAATCCAACATTTGACTCACTTTCAGCCCTAACTTTATTGTGGGAACTGGGAGGAAAAGCTAACGTGTGACTTGAGCTAATATTTCTCAAGCTTTACCATCACTCTCCTCCACGTCATCATTGAGAAACAAGCTGTCGTCTGCAGAGAAAGCACCAAAGCTGGAGTCATCGCTTTCATCAGAGATGTAGCCAGAGGTCAGACACTGGTCGGACAGCAGTCTGGAATAAACGCTGTTATTCTTCGACCTCCTAAGAGACTGAATGATTTTTGCCAAATTGATCCCTTTACCTTGAAAACAGAAAACAAGGACGCTCCAAATTAGAGCCACAACAGCCTCAATAAAGTTAGTGAAACAAACACATCAAACCCACTAATTATCCTCACTGTTGTAACTTAGACTGAGAGTTCTGCCTTGCTCAGCCAGCAGGGGGCTCAGCCAGGAGGCATCCAGCCGGCCCAGCCTAAAGCCCCCCAGGCACAGCGCGCTGTTGTTCAGGTCCAAACCCAGCCGGCCCAGCAGCAGGACGACCGTGGGCCCGTCGCCCCTCTTCACGCTCACAGCCAGGGCCCTGCGGAGGTGCTGCTCGTGGATGCCCCGACTCAGCAGGAGCTCCACCAGCTCCAAGGGTCCTCCTCTCTCACACACCTGAAGTACAAGCACAGTCGTCAGTTTCACTTCGTCAACAACTGCGCGCCACTTTCTAACTTCTAACCTGATAAATGAGAGACTCATTTTTGGGTTTCCTGTTGACGTCGGCGCCCAGCTCGATCAGGCACTCCGCCATCGCCGTGTCTCCGTCCATGCAGGCTTTTTCCAGCATGTTATGGTGAACGTCTGGGTCACTCCACATCTTAGCCAGAGCCCGACACGCCGACTTCCACAGCTGATGGCAAACAGATAAAGCGAGACGTCACAGGCGGTTTACCGTAACTTTATAAAGAGACAAACAGTGGCTGAGACAAATAATCTGTGTGTTTATGTGTTTACATGATGCTGCTGGCTTTTACCTCTATATTGGCTTTTTACAAACCTCTCTGATAGCAGGATGGAAACAGTGAGCTTGGTTTTTACAGATTAGCTAGACCAAACCTGTAACCTGAGTCTCTGAGAGCTGAGGCATCAACCTGAGAGCTGATGCCTCTCAGCAAGAAGGTCACCGGTTCAAATCCCGGTCCGGGGACCTTTCTGGGTAGAGTTTGCATGTTCTCTCCGTGCATGTGTGGGTTCTCTCCGGGTACTCCGGCTTCCTCCCACAGACCAAAAACATGACTGTTAGGTTAATTGATAACTCTAAATTATCCCTTGGTGTGAGTGAGAGAGTGAATGGTTGTTTGTCTCGTTTGTCTCTATGTGTAGTCCTGTGATGGACTTGAGACCTATCCTGGGTGTACCCTGCCCCTCGCACTGTGACTGCTGGATATAGGCACCAGTGACCCACGCAACCCTGAAAAGGACGAAGCGTGTACAGAAAATGGATGGATGGATGGATGGATGTTCATTTCTAGTACTTGGTTGAAAACTCTTTGTTGTCAATGACTGCCTGAAGTCTTGAACTCATGGATGTCACCAGACGCTGTGTTTCCTCCTTTTTAATGCTCTGCAGGCCTTCATTGAGGCGGTTTTCAGTTGCTGTTTGTTTGTGGGCCTTTCTGTCTGAAGTTTAGTCTTTAACAAGTGAAATGATCAGTTGGGTTGAGATCAGGTGACTGACTTGGCCATTCAAAAATATTCCCCTTTTTTGCTTTAATAAACTCCTGGATTGCTTTGGCTTTATGTTTTGGGTCATTGTTCATCTGTAGTGAAACGATGACCAATCAGTTTGGCTGGATCTGAGCACACATTGTGGCTCTGAATACCTCAGAATTCATTTGGCTGCTTCTGCCCTTGTGTCACATCATCAATGAACACTAGTGACCCAGTGCCACTGGCAGCCATGCATGCCCATCACACTGCTCTGCTGTGTTTTACAGATGATGTGGTGCTTTGGATCATGAGCTGTACCACGCCTTCACCATACTTTTCTCTTTCCATCCTTCTGGTAGAGGTTTATCTTGGTTTCATTTGTCCAAAGAATGTTCTTCCAGAACTCTGCTGGCTTTTTTAGATGTTTTTAGCAAAGTCCAGTCTAGTCTTTTTATTCTTGATGCTTATGAGTGTCTTGCAGCGTGCAGTGAATCGTTTGTATTTACTTTCATGCAGTCTTCTCTTTATGGTAGATTTGGATATTGATATGCCTTCCTCCTGCAGTGTTCACTTGGTTGGCTGTTGTGAAGGGGTTTCTCTTCACCATGGAGATTATACTGCCATCATCCACCACTGTTGCCTTCTGTGGGCGCCCAGGTCTTTTTGCATTGATGAGTTCACCAGTGCTTTCTTTCTTTCTCAGGATGTACCAAACTGTAGATTTTGCCACTCCTAATATTGTAGCAATTTCTCAGATGGGTTTTTTCTGATTTTGCAGCTTAAGGATGGCTTGTTTCACCTGCATGGAGAGCTCCTTTGACCGCATGTTTACTTCACAGCAAAACCTTCCAAACGCAAGCACCACACCTCAAATCAACCCCACGCCTTTGATCTGTTTAATTGAGAATGACGTAACGAAGGGATTGCCCACACCTGTCCATGAAATAGTCTTGGAGTCAATTGTCCAATTACTTTTGGTCCCTTTAAAAACAGGGAGGCACATGTTAAGGAGCTGAAATTCCTAAACCCTTCATCCAATTTTAATGTGGATACCCTCAAACGAAAGCTGAATGTCTGGACTTTATATCCATGTACATTATATAACTACAACTTGAATATGCTTCAGTAAACAGGTAAAAAGACACAATTTGTGTCAGTGTCCAAATATATTTGGGCCTAACTGTATGTGTTACAATTTATTCTCAGCTACACTACTACACAAACATAGGCAAAACTGACTAATTTAGATCTATTTTTGTTTGTTATAAACCAGTGATTCCCAAATCTTTTTTCTTCCACTGGGCTTCCCTTTGGGTTATAGGAAAATTCCACAAACCCACTACACCCACCCTCACGTACGCACAATTTTCAAACAAACACACACTCACATTGGAGTTTATTTTACACCAAAACAATTTTTTGAACAATTGAACCAATAAAAGTAAAACTGAAAGAAATTAGAGTTTAAAATAAAAAAAAACTACAACTTATTTTACAATAAATTTACAATGAATCACCATTATAGTGTTACTATTATAGGTGTTGTTTTACTGTGACAACATTCGACATTGCTACCAATAAATCTAAAAGAAAAAATGTTTCTCTGTGCAAAATGGGTTTAAAAACTTGCTGAGAGGAAAAAAAGAGGGTTTGTTGATTAAAAGAACACATTTAATCCTCACTTTTTTGTGTTTATATGGGAGCCCTGTCAAAAACCTGACCGTTATGCCAGCAGTGTCCATGGGGCCCCCCAGCAGTACAACAGCATCCCCCCTTGTGGACACCCCCCTATCTTAGACACCTCTGTTATAGTTATTTAGTTGCAGTGACTACCTTAAATAGGGTGAAATCCAGAAATAGTAATAAAACTGTGTATAAAAAAATGTTTATCTCCTGTTTTACTTTTTTATTTCTGTCATAAATACAGTAAATTATGGTAAATATACTGTGGCTTTCTTTACAAAAGAAAAAGTCAAAGTGCACAGAGCCTGTGAGGGGATATGAGGAGAATTTTTTTCCTTTGCGTTCCCTCGCAATACTTTTGCATTCCCACTCAAAAGTTTGTTTTGTATTAACTGTATTGAATCAGACTTTTATTTTGAAATATCCTGTTACCAAAACGGCATGTGCTGCCACAAGTTCGGGAAATTGACTGTGATATTGCCTGGCTGCATAAAGCTTTAAATATTTGCATTTTGCACATATTTATGCGTGGCTGTGATTCATTTATTCCAAAGCTGAATTAAAGTAGTAGGCTAACTCTGGTATAATGGTGAGAATATACATTTGTTAATAAATCAGCAAGCGCAGTAGTAATAATTGGCTTCTGCAAGGGAATGCAAAAAATATTGTGTGGTAATGCAATAATTGTGTGGGATCGCAAAAAATAAATCCCCCCATGTCCCCTTGTGGGCTCTGTTAAAGTGAAATCAAATATCTCCAGAGTAAAACGCTAACCCAATAAAATAAAAATATGAAATGTAAAACCAGTAACTAAGGTTTCCTCCAGTGTTTTATATTATAAACATGCTTTACTTTCTCCCCCACCTGTCTAAGCGTCCGCCCTCCCTAACAAACGCCCCACTCCCACCCCTCAAAATGATGCATTACTGTGGTGGAACTCACAGGGCTCGTGCTTGGGTTGCTTTCATTACTAAGGTACTGGAAGATTTGTCTGTCAAAGTCTTCTCTTTGCAGCTCAGCTGCAGCCGCTGAGCAGGCATCCAGCATCCTCAGTGCCACCTGAAAACACTGTTAAAAACATAAAACTGTCATAAGATATATGAGCCAAAGATCTCAAGTCAGGCAAAAACATTATAATAATTCCCATCTGCAAAAATCTCCATCTTCAAAGCTGGTTCCCTTCAAAGTGGATTTGCAGTCTGAGCATCCTCCAGTTCTTCCATCCTTCATTCAAGAGCAACACACACACACAGACACACACACACACACACACACACACACACACACACACACACACAGACAGACAGACACACAGACAGACACACACACACACACACACACACACACACACAGACACACACACACACACACACACACAGACAGACAGACACACACACACACACACTCACACACACACACACACACACACACACACACACAGACAGACAGACACACACACACACACACACACACACACACACACACACACACACAGACACACACACAGACAGACAGACACACACACACACACACACACACACACACACACACACACACACACACAGACAGACAGACACACACACACACACACACAGCTCCATCAGATTTTTACTCCCACTAGCCCCTCAGTTCACCTTCAGCAGCATCTCAGGGTCTTCTTTGTATTGGCGTATGGAGGTGACGACAACAGAGGCCAGAACAGGAACAATCATCCTCGAGAGTTTCCTCTTAGACACGAGGTGGCTGAGCAGGTTCAGACCCCAGTAGTGTATGTCTGAGGAAACAACGCAAAGATTCAAACGTGGGAATGTTTTCTAATGTCACAATCCTTCCATTGAGCTGAGCGCAATGTTTCAATTCAAGCTAATTTCCTTTTTGTCTTGTACCTAATGAAAATAAGCTGGTTTTATCAGAGCATAAAGATTAATACAGATCTGTAATTTAGAAAGAAGTCACAGGACCTAATCATATAAGATGTTCAGCATAACTAAAGCACATTATTAAAACCCTAAACACATCAGTGGCAAAGGCTACCACTTTTCAAAAACCTACCTAGCTAATAATCAGGTTAGATCTATTTCAGACCTGATTTACTGATTACTGTTTAAGATTACGCATGCAATTTGTCAAAAACAGGAAGCAAAACACTATAAAGATGAGGAAAAATAAATGTTTTGTAATTAACCACGCCAAGAACCGAGCCTCCACCAATGAAGTGTTTTTTTAAACAGGATATTAATCATTTATTTTTAAAAAAATATTGGAACATGAACTTGCATAGTTGCACTAAATTCCGTCTGATAATACCAATCCTGTACCTCGCTCCGTTGGGAACATTTGTAGTGTATGAAGCGCCGTGTCGATCGCCCCCTGCTGGCACAACAGGTCCACTGCACCGGAGCAGTCAGCCAGAGAGGACAGCACCCTGAAACCACACTGCTGTATGCTGGGGCTGCTGATGAACTGAAAACACAAACAACACACTTTACTAATAAAACAAAACAATTCTGAGCTCATATGTTATGAGAATTATAATTATTGTCATTTTGACAGAGTATGTAGACATGCTGTGAGGGTGAAAACTCCTATATGAACCAAAACTTATGGTTAGTGACTGAATTTAGACCTACAGTGGTTTGCAAAAGTATTCATACCCCTTGAACTTTTCCATATTTTGTCACATTACAACCACAAACTTAAATATATTTCACTGGAATTTAATGTGAAAGACCAACACAAAGTGGTATACAATTGTGAAGTGGAAGCAAAATTTTACATGAATCAAAACATTTTTTACAAATACAGCTGCTCCGTGACGGCCTCAGATGTTGGTTAAGAGAATATTGGGGAGCAAACAGCATCATGAAGTCC